TAAGCCTCATGCAATCAACCAAAACCAATCGTTTTGCAATCAACCAAAACCAATCGTTTTCCCTATTCTCAGATCCTGCAAAATACAATGAGTAGGAAAAAAAATTCAACTTTTCAATTGAGGGCTTTTGTAATGGCACTAATAGATAAAAGGTTTACATGAAAACTGGGTATGTGAAGGACAAAAGTTAAATCAATGGTAGATGTGCACTTAATAGAACCTGTGCCAACAATAGGTGTAAAAGAACCATATGCAATGCTTACAGTTTCTTTACCAAAACAAGATGAATATATTACGAATTTATTAGAAGAGCTTGTCATATGTTTATTTGCTCCTGAATCTATAACTCATGAATCATCATCAACTGAATTAGCAAGAAGGGTCGTATCTGATTGCACAAAATTGGAAGAAGCAACAGAGGTCGATGAATAGTCTAACTTTGACAAAAGGCGCTTTAATGATTGTACCTTTTTAGTGGAGAAACTCCCAGCAGATGATGCTTCAGGTACTGCTACTACTTCAACTTGGTGTGCAAAAGGTCTAGATGAACCCATCCTTTTACCACCACGACCCCTATAGTCGGTCGGCTGTGCAATTTCCAATATTATTCCTTTGTATGTCTTGGCTTTCCACAATAATCACATACTAAATAGTCTTATTAGATGAGATTTGGATAGTTTGTAAAGGTTGAGAAGTAAGAAGTCCAGATTTTTCAAATGGAAGTAGTAGTTAGCATGAAACATCTCCAGCTTTCTTCCTATTGAACATAAGAATATGTCTGCTGCAGTGAAGGCATATGATCTTTCCTTAGGCTTTGAATCCATATTGGATCATATTCAGTATTCAAACCTGTAGGAAACTCATATATGTGTCCCTTTTCAACTTTCCTTTGATATCCTACCACATCAGCCTCACATTTGGGATGGTAATCCTCATAGTAATCAAGTTTCTGCCACAAACTAGTCATTCAGCATAATATTGATTAATGGTCATCCCACCTTACTTTGTTCCTAGAACTTTATTCCGAACTTCATACACTTGTGAATCATTCCCATGTTGAGAATAAGTTTGGGAAACAGTTGACCAGATTTTTGCTGCAGTGTCCAACATCCAATAGCCACTAGAGATCTAAGGTTGCATGGAATTAATAAGCCAAGATATTACTAAGGAATTTTCAGAATCCCACTTGTCATAGGTCGGACTAGTTATTTCAGGCTGTGCTTTATTTCTAGTGACATATCCCTGTAGTCCCCGAGCATTAATAAATAACAAACATGACCTTGACCAAGCAAGGTAGTTAGTACCATCAAGCCTAACTGGACTAATTTACAAAGAAGGATTGTCCAAAGAAGCAACCAACTTTGTTTCAATAGTTTCAATTTTTTCAACAAGTTTAGTCCCATCAACCATGACTGAATAATTGTTGAAAGAAAAACTAGTTGTTGGCAGAGAGATAGTAACACGTGAAAGAAAAACTAGTTGTTGGCAGAGAGATAGTAACACGAATAAATACCAAGACATAGATGCGCAGAGAAACAAGTCATGAATAAGGCTGGGGTGAAGTCGCCGGAGCAGGACGAGTCTGCCGGAGTAAGTCCAGTTGAGATAGGCTGCCGGAAAGTGACTCGCGCTGACGCGTGGTAGAGATGTTGAATCTATAATTGGCACATGAACCCACAAAGTAGTGCTAATTTCTCCCTTTTTAGAATGGGGATTGGCCATGAATAGATCTTACTTACGGGTAAGAGTAAGAACATCTATTAAAAGGGCAGCTGATCTGCGACTAAGAGAAAGGAGGGAAGAGTTTAGGACCTTTACTAAATTATCCGATGTAAATAGGACCTTACTAATTATCCGAGTAAAATTTGAGTTTCTTGGACGGTCATTGGACTTTGGGGAATGGGTCGCCAGTAGCTGGTCTTCCTTCCAGGGGTCGCGATGTACTTCTACTCCACCCTAAAAACCTCTGATAGGTTAATATCAATCCCTACCCTAAGAGCTCTGTTTACACAATTTTCGGTCCCGCTCTGACACCAAGTGGAGTTTAGGAATAGATTGGGAAAATATTGTTTCTGTATTTGTATTGTCAATGTGATTAATACATCCTATTTATACACAATCATCAAACTCTAATTAGGAAAAACTAATCTAATTTCAAATAGGAAAAAGCAAACGAGGCAAGAATGATTTTCTCCTAAATAGTCTATATACACGTCAACATCCCTATTTTTTAATGTCATTAATACTTTGGTCCTTCTCTTATGATTTCTGTAACAGTTTGGTGTCTCTGTTTTGGATGGAAAGATCAAATTGATGTTTTATTTGGGTTGTTTAAATGACAAATAGATTAAGGACCAATAAGTAAAAAGAAAAGAGAACTGTGATTTGACCAAGCTAAAGTGTATTTGTTTATTTATATATATAATATATAATATATAATAATATATAATATATATCAAGGTGCTATGTATCGTAGTTGAAAGTTTGTCCTTAATTATGATATTAACCATTTATTGAACATGAATAAATGGGGTATTATTGAACATGAATAAATGGGGTAATGTCTTTGGTATGTGTTTTAATATGGATATGGATATATATATATATAAAGTAATAATGTTAAACATACTTTTGATATGAATGTTGGTGTATTGGATTATGGTTTAAATTAGTTTCTAAACTAAATGTTCAGTTTATTAGTTTACAATTTTAGTTCGAATTTATTCATTTAAGAGAGATGTAAATTGTTATTTAATTTTTAGTATGGGAAATAAATATTATGGCTTTATTAGTGAAAGCACCTAATGAGGAGGACTTTGAAGAAAAGTAAGCGAAAAGAGAAGCTAAAAAAAAGTCAGTAAAGCTAGAGCTAAAGCATTTGCAGACTTGTATCAAAAGCTAGGAACAAGAGGGGGAGAAAGATATGTACAAGCTCACAAGATTGAGAGAGAAAAGGGTAAAGGCTTGAGCCAAGTTAAGTGCATTAAAGATGATTCCCGTTGGGGGTTAACAGGAGATAAAGAGATGAAAGAGTGGTGAAGGTGCTATTTCGACTTGTAATTCAACAAAAGCCACGAGTACTTTACGGACCTTCATGTACTGACAGAAACCTTAGGTACCTCGTAGAATTAGGTGTAATAAGGTCAAGAAGGCTTTGAAACATACGAATGTTTGAAAAATATATGGTCTAGATAGTATTTCTACATCTAGAAGAGTCTTGGGAAAGTTAGAGTGGCTTGGTTAACAAAGTTATTCAAAGTCATGCTTAGAGCTAGAAAGATGTTGAATGAGTGGAGAAATAACACTTTGATACTGATATATAAGAAAAGGAGAGACATTAAAGCTTTATAACTACTGTGGTATTAAACTTACGAGTCATATAATGAACTTTGGGAAAGATTAATACAACATGGATTGAGGGACATTACTAATGTATCAAAGAAACAATTTTGATTTATGCCTGGTGGATCTCCAACATAGGATATTTTCCTACTAAGAAGAGTGATGGAAATGTATTGGGAAAAGAAGAAGGATCTGCACATGGTATTCATTAACCTAGAGAAAGCTTATGACAGAGTGTAGAGGGAAGTACTTTAGTGGGTATTAGAGAAGAAAGTTCATAATAAGTATATAAAACCATTAGAAATATGTATGAAAATGCAGTCACCAGTGTTAGAAAAGTTGGAGCAAAGGAGTTCACAATAATAGTTGGGCTTCATCAAGGATCTATTTTGAGCCCATACTTATTTACCCTCGTAATGGATGAGCTAACGAGTAATATACAAGAGGATGTTTCTTAGTACATGCTATTTGCAGATGATTTTGTCCTAATCGATGAAACTAGTGAGAGAGTGAACTAAAAGTGGGAACTATGGAGAACTCTTGAGGATAAGGGTTTTAGGCTAAGTAGAAGTAAGAGGGAATACATATACTGCAAGTTTGGTTTAAGAAAAGTAGAAAAGTGAGGTTAGATTAGATGGTATGCTAGTGCTCAAGTGCAACTAATTCAGATGGATGTATTGGCACATAAAGTTGGATGAGATTAAAATTGATCACATTAGACAAAAGGCTGCAAGTAGGTAGAATTTGGAGATAAAATAAGAGAATGACGCCTAAGATGGTATGGTCATGTATTATGCTGACCATCACATGCCCCAATTCTCAAATGTGATACTTTAGTAGTTGAGGGTACTAAAAAGAGAAGAGGTCGACCTAAAACTTGCTTTGAGGGAACCATCACATGCCCCAATTCTCAAATGTGATACTTTAGTAGTTGAGGGTACTAAAAAGAGAAGAGGTCGACCTAAAACTTGCTTGGAGGGAAATTGTCGCTAAAAATCTATGGTCTTTCGATATTAGTGAGGGTATAGCTACAAACAAAATATAATGGAGGCAAAAGATACATGTAGCAAACCCTAATTAATTGTTGCCTAATTCATGCTTTGTTCTATTTATTAATATATTAAATGATTCTAAAATTCCTGTTCAAAATCTTTTACAGAAAGTATTTAAAAATTTTTTTTCCGACCAATATTTTGCTTTGTATTATTTTTGACATGATCGGAGTGAATATTTAAAACAAAGGATTCATATAGTCTATCTCAACTAGTTTGGGCCTAAGGTATGGTGGTGGTTGTTGAATAAATTAAAGTTATACTACAAGTTCAAAAGGTAAATTTGCCTAAAAAGTCAAATCTAACTTTTCTAATCATTTTCATTAAGTTTAGGGCTAAATTGGCCTAGAAGGTCAAATATGACCTTTTTTATTCTGCTAAACAAATTTAAGGGCTAAATTGGCCTTTATTCCTATTTTATTTTGTAAGGTGATTTTTCATGCCCATCTTAATACTATTCCTCTTATGCAGATTAAGCTTGACATCCCAGATGAGTTTCTCATTTCAATATTAGGCTCTTATAGTAGTGCAAACTCTAGTTCTACCATAATTGAACCACTCACATTCCAAAGCAATAAAAAGATATATGGACCATTTGGTATTAATATGGAGCCGCAATTTGGTACTGGAAGTGGAAACAAGGAATTCTCATTATTGGTCAATATCAATATAATATCATATGGTAAAATAATTGGATTTCATGGAACATGCAGTGATTATCTACACTCCATTGGAGTGTATTTGAAGCCAATTCCTATGTCATATCAACTTGAAACTTGTAAACCATGTGGAGGACAAGATGGAAATGTATGGGATGATGGATTTCACACAACAATAAGGCAATTGATAGTAGGGGTTGGATCTATAGTTGATTCATTACAAGTTGAGTATGATAAGCATGGGCGCTCGATGTGGTGTGAAAGGCGTGGTTATAGCATTGGAGGCAATAAATACATGGTAAGTCCATTATGACTTCATTTGTTCTTTTCTTTTTAGGAAATAAATATGCTAATTTATTGCTGAAAATTTTATTTTTTTTTTGTTTTTGTTATTTTTCCACTATAGCAAGGTGCATGTTGATTTACTATGAAATTAGCCAAAAAAAAAAAAAAAAAATCCTCTTGTTTTAAATACTTGCAAGAATCAAGATGATTATTAAACAATTTCAATTCTAGAAAAGAAATTTTATTAAAGTTTTACTAAATTTGTATAAAAGAGGTAAAGGTGATTAGGAAGATAGGAATGTGATAAGAAAGAGAAAAATGAAGTAATTAAATAGAGATAACTAGTAACAAGGGTGAAGTATAAAAAATGATCAACACTTGCTTACTTTCTATAAAACGACTAATGAAATGGTAATTTTTAATTCGAGTAAATTATACCAATCAGTCACCTAATTTTGCACTTAATTTCATTAAGGTCACACACTTTTAATTTGTCATTTTTAATTAGTCAACTTTAATTTAATTTTTATTTATTAGGCTTAATTTAAATTTTTTATTTATTAGAGTTCATGCATCCGGATCCTGTAGTTTGGAATGGTAAATATGATACTAAAAAATTATATGTTTCAAAAAAAAAAATCATGATTACCTAAGGAATGTAAGTAAAAGAAAAGAAATGTTACAAAATCATTTTTTCCTTTTTTTAAACTTTTTTTTTTCTTTTCTTTTGTAACCTTTTAAAACGTAAATGAACGTTTTTTTTTTTTTCCTTAAAACGGCAATATAAGAGTGTTTTTTCCTTTTTTTTTTTTTTTTTCCTTTTTTCTTTTTGAAACTTATTTCATGAAAACAACATTATTTGTTAAGAAATTAATAAGTAGACACCAAATTAATGTATTATGACAAGATATGATTTTTTAAATGAAATATTTTTTTTAGTACCATATTAGTACTTTTGCTGACCAGATTCTGGTGAGTGATGTCCTGTTGAAATAAAAATCATAGTTTCAAAAAGAAAAAAAGACAAGTTAAAGTTATGTGATCTTACAAAATTAACTGTAAAGTTAAGTTACATTGACTACTAGTTTAATCTACCACAAAATTTTCTAAAGTGAAACTAAAGTGCAGCAAAGGAAGTAATGCTAGAAATAAGAATCACCAACAAATACAATGCAAATTTTTTATGTTGAAATATATAAAGAGTTTTAGTGTAATTGTTAATATTGTTTAAGGAATATATTTAGGAATTTCCATATGTAACTTGTAGGCAGTTTGCATTCATTTGCTCCAAGTCGATACATATTCTCCCATTACTTGCTCTCGACTCCTTAAAGATTCCTATTCTAAATTCTATTTCCTGTTGTATTAGGTAGTCCCCAACATACATACATATACACACACATATATATACATATATAATGTCCTCTTGATCAATCAAGAAAACACAATTTTCTTTCATCATATTTATTTTTAACTTGGTATCAGAGCCATGAATTTTTTTTCTCAGATTACAAGTCAAACTTCCATCAATCTTATTCATGCACCTTTGCCTTCTTCAACATCCTTTGTGTAGGCCAATCATTCCTTTTCTATAAAACTAAATACCAACAATTATATAGCATGGAAGATGTAGTTTATTCCATTGCTCGATTATCAACACGCATGGCTATATTGATGGTTCAATGATTCCCTCGACCAAAAACCATTCCTATACTATGGATGTTACTCAATACATTCCTAATCCTGCCTGTGAGACTTGGTTTAAGAAAGATGAGATGCTTGATGCTTGGTTATTAACTTCTCTAACTGAGGAAATCTTTTCTAATGTTATTGATCTCTTTTCCGCATCTGAAATTTGGCGATTGATCTCTTTTCCGCATCTGAAATTTGGCGAGCCTCAGCAAATGCTTTTGGATCTGTTTCTCAAAATCATAAACTTGAAATCCATATTTTTCTTCATGAATTAAAGAAAAATGATCTTACAGCCTATTAATATTTGCGGAGTGCTAAGGCACTCGCGGTTGACCTCTATCTCCTGCTGAATTTTATGCTTAATTTATTGAAATATTGAGAGTGAATTTCATAGTATTATCACCATCTTAAATTTGCAACTTGACCCAGTTTCCTTTCATGAGCTGGCAGTTTCCTTTCATGAGCTGGATGGTCCGTTGTTGCACATGAAATATAGATTAAAAGCTTGCTTGAACCTCTCATGGCCAATACAGTGACAGCAGCTCCTTGTGCGCCTCAATTCATGTCTTTGGCATGCTTAGGCAGACAACCCCTCATCGTCCTTCTTTTGGCTCAAGTCCTCATCACTAGATGCTCCTAATTTTAACTGTGTAGCCAATGTTAGATCTGTGGTTGGTGAAACCATATGACTATTACATGCCATTGACAGTATTCCCTTCGTCCTACCTACACGCTTAAAGCAAATTTACAGCTTCACTTTGTAATGCTTCTTATGCGACTATCCCTCTAATTTTACTCCATATCATTATGTGCCTGCTACTCCAAGGTTTCCATATACTGCTAACTTCCATGTGACACCAAATCTCTTAGCCATATGTGCACCACTCCAAAGCAATGTGCACCACTCCAAAGCAAGGTAAGATCAACTCCATGTTGGCAATGGACAAAAGTTGCACATAGCTCATATTGGTAATGCCTCTATTACTTCTTTAAATGGTTCTTTGGCACTCAATAATATTCTTCATGTTCTCTCCATAACTTAAAGCCTTTTATCTGTTCAAAAGTTCACCTTTGATAATTCTGTGTATTTTGAATTTTCTCCTACTCGCTTTTTTTATGAATTAGGTTACCAAGGATTTTTTTATTAAGAGCCAAACTGATGGAGTTTATGTTGCCCCTTCATCTACCAAACAAGCTTTGGTGTCGCCAATTCCTATGATAGACAATTAACATGTTCGATTAGGCCATCCCAATGCCCGTGTTCTTTCTCATATTCTTAAAGAGTTCAATTTATTGTCTTCTTCTTCAAATTTACTTCCATGTTCTTCTTATTCTTTAGGAAAGTTAACTTGGGATTCCTCTTGTGTCCATTGAATATAAGAGCATTGTTCCTTTTGATATTATTCATTTAGATGTTTGGGGTCTTGAGATGTTTGGGGTCTTGTTCTTTTTATCTAATTTTAGGTTTTAATTTAGGTTTTCATTATATGATTTTGTTTATTGATTATTTCACTCGATTTACATAGGTTTCTTTCCAAAAAATAATAGTGAAGTGAATTCTATTTTCTTGAATTTTCTAGGAACCTTGTTAAAAGGCAATATAATCTTAAGGCTTCCATTCAGATTGGGGGAGATGAGTATCAAAAATTGAACAAGTATTTTCAATCTATTTGATTTGTAAATTGCATTGCATGCCTTTATACTCTTGGGAAAAATGGAGTTGTTGAATGAAAATTCGGCATTTTTATAAAAGTTTAACTTTACTTGCTCATGCTCAGTTACGTTTAGTGTTTTGGAGTTATGCCTTTGAAATTAGTGTCTTGTTAATAATTTGCTATATCATATCTCATATAAAGATCTCCATATTTTCTGTTGTTTGGAAAATTTCCATCCTTTTTAGAAATTAAACCTTTTGGGGGTTTTTGGGGGTGGTGTATCCTTTACTTCATCTTATAATACTCATTAAGTTTTCACTTTCGTCCTACTCATGTTACTTGGTCCTGTCCTTCTCAACTCTACTTTCCGGATCTTTTAAGATGTGCAACACTAACGGTGCTTATCTGCATGGCATTCAAGTTTCATGAAAAGGATTTAAGTTTCATGAAAAGGATTTTCCATGCCTAGTGTTGGTCAAGCCATCTTCTACCCTTTCGCCATCATCCACTACACTTGTCTGCATATTTAGCATACACTCCTTGCACATTTGCATGCTGAACACTTTAGGTATATCCTCTTCCCTTCCCACTATTATTAGACTAACTACTTCCTCATCCACCTCCGCCAATTTGCCTTCTCCTGTCAATCTTGTTGTTGACTTTACAAAGTACTCTAGACCTCCATTTTCTCATACAACCCCTAAATTACCTTCTTGCATATGTACACCATCTGCAATTTCACTTATCTATTTTTACCTAACGTGAGGCTCATGCTTTATCTCATCTAATTGACTACCTTCAGATTGAGCCAACTACCTCTAAACAAGCTTCTCCTATCTAGAGTGGAAAAGAGCAATGCAAGTTGAATATGATGCACTCGTTGCTAACTGGACATGCAGCTTGGTTCCAAGGTCAATTGACAAGAATGTACCTGATAACAAATAGGTCTTTTACATTAAAAGGAAAATAGGTCTTTTACATTAAAAGGAATGCCTGATGGTTCCAATTAGTGCTACAAAGCTCAATTAGTTGCAAAGAGTTTTGCTCAACAAGTTTGGTATTTATTATGATAAAACCTTCACTCTTGTAATGACGATGACCACAATTTACATTGTTCTTGCCTTGGCCACTAAGAATAATTGGCCATAGCACCAGTTTGACATTTCTAAATCTTTTATGTATGGTTCTCTAGACAACAAAATTTTTATGTATGGTTCTCTGGACAACAAAATTTTTCTAAAACAACTGGAAGAAACAACTGGAAGGAATTCTCAATTCTAATCATCCAAATTATGTTTATATGTTAAATAAATCTTTATATGGTCTCAAACAAGCATCTAAGGCTTCGTTTCATCGCCTTTCTACCTTCTTTTATAGATTTTGGTTTACATTTTCGTTTATGTTGATGATATTCTTTGCAAGTTCAGATATTGCAAAATTTGGTTGGTTTCTCCTAAATCCTTAGTGTGCTTTCCCAGTTCATGACCTTGGGTCATCGCAATACTTTCCAAGGATTAAAATGCATCAAACTCATAAATGGTTTAATTCTTACTTAGCGCAGTCGATGCGTGTCGAATAATAGAAAAACAACGAGCTTCTGGTGATCTTGAAGAGATAGACCTAAAAGAAAATGCGTGTCGAACTTATCAAAGACAATTAATCTTTGTGGCGAGTTTTTTATACGTTTTATTTCAAGAGAGGCGGATTCTCTTTGATTTTTCAAAGAATTTGTTTTTGAACTTATCAAAGACAATTAATCTTTGTGGCGTTTATCTTTTCACCTTAATATCTTTGGTTCATACTTCTAGTTGAGTATTGGGTCAAGATTCGCAATTCTATCCAATAAGAAATCCCTAATATCTTTGGTTCATACTTCTAGTTGAGTATTGGGTCAAGATTCGCAATTCTATCCAATAAGAAATCCCTAATTCGGAGATTAGGGTTCCTAATTTGGGATTTAGGCGGAGATTACGGGTTCCTAACATTTGGGATTTAGGGTTTTATATCAAGCATTGCTAATTATGTGGCTTCAATCTCCTTATGAGCTTTGGTTTTTTCTTTATCTACTGTCAGCCACGTCGATGGTGTGACTACATATGGGTTGCTATTTACTTGTCTTCTCAACGCCACGTTTTCCCATGATGGGCCGGGCGGGTGGTACCCTCATCCACCCCGATAATTGAATATTGTCCGCTTTTGGGCCACAGCCTCCACGGATTTTTGTTTTTTGGGCACCTCCCAAAAGGCCCCAATTGCTAATTATGTGGCTTCAATCTCCTTACTGAGCTTGGTTTTCTTTTATCTATGTCAGCCACTCGATGGTGTGATAATATGGGTGCTATTTACTTGTCTTCCAAGCCAGTTTTCCATGCTTGCACCAAAAGCTTTGAGCTTGATTACCATTTTGTCTGTGGACAGGTTGAACTTCAGTGTTCTCAAGTTTGGCATTTTTCTGGTGATAATTAAATAGATGAAATTTCTAAACTGCTTGAGCAGCAGTTGTTTGAAATTCATTGCAACGAGCTTTCAATTGGTCCTACCCCATCTTCAGCTTGAAGGTGGGGTGTTAAGGAATATATTTTTTAATATATTTCTCCTGTTATGATTATTTTCCATATGTAATCTGAGATATATACTCTCCCATTACTTGCTCTCCACTCCTTAAATATTCCTATTCTAGAATACGATTTCCTATTGGATTAAGTCATCTCCTTTATATATCTCTCTTATGCCTGTCTTCCTGACCAATCAATGAAACACAACTATGTTTCATAATATTCAGTTCTAACAAATACATTGACAATTTGTTTGTAGTTTTTTAGACAATAAGCATGGAATTATATATGATGTGTGAATAAGCACACACATTAATTACACACACATTAATTACACCTTCTGGCCCGAAAAGCTTATTAATTGATCATAGCCTGTAAAATAAGTTCTTAACCTTTATTGTCATGAGAGTTTTGTTATATATATGGTTTTGAACTTACAGGTCAAACTTGACTATCCTCGAGAATATCTGGTTTCAATCTCAGGACATTATGGTTCAAATGATGATTCTTCTTATATTTGCTCGCTTACATTCAAAAGCAATCGAAATACATATGGACCTTTTGGTAGTACAACAGGAATTCCTTTCTCAACACCATCTTCCTATGGCAAGATTATTGGACTCCATGGAACAGCTTACCACTGCCTCCATTCAATAGGGGTACATGTAAAACCAATATTGCCAATTATTCTTGGCCCGTATGGGGGCCATTATGGAGATCCATGGGAGGATAAATCTTACAGCACGCTGAGACAGATACAACTAACAGTTTGTGAATTTGGAATTGAGTCTATTCGTTTTCAGTTCCAGTAAATGACAGAAGAACATGGGGTTCTTCCCGCGTGGTCTAAAAAGCAGGATCAAACAGCTGAAGGCAAGTTGAAAAGGTCATTCTTCTCCTTTTTTATTTAAGGTGTAATAATGCATTTTGTCCCTTGAACTTTTTATTTTTTGGTTTTTTGGTTTCTGAACATCTGAAACAAAATGTTTTTACAACAATTGCATTTTTGAGAACTTTTTGATTGATAGCAGCAAGCTCAAGTCACGGGATTTGAATATAATGGTGAATCACTTTTATGATTAGTGGGTGAGGGGGTATTGGCTCAACAGTTGTTGAAGTTAATGCATCCCTTTATGCATCTTGAACCTAAAGTCATTTTTCTTTTGCCCATTTTGCATACAAATCTTTGATTTTTGTCTGTTTCGGTAAGGGCTTGAAAATCAAACAAGCATTTTTGTCTTCGTATGTTTGTTGTAAACCGGGAGCAAATACTTGACAACGATGTTTATTTGTTCTTGTTCATTAATAAAACGATTTTCTGAGCAGCTTTGATACTCACTTTGTAATCAATGTGGAGGGTGACTCTTTAAAAGCTACTTGGTAGTCTCCAAATCACGCCTAATTATGTCCACTTCAATTTTATAACATGCGTTGCTTGTTGAATTCATTTCAAAATTTCATACCCGATTCTTGTGGTTATCTTTTAGGAAGATAACCATGTCAACACCTTACCAGTTAATGTCCCTTGTAACATTGAGCAAGAAGCTCATTGTTAGTGCCCGAAGGTTTCATTGCCCCTACATAAACATAACAAACTACATAAACATAACAAACATTGATATTTGTTTCTCTTCTCATTCTCATTCTGTGGGGACAATTCTGAAGATTACTTTCGAAAGCGAGGTTCTCACTGCCTTGCTGGTTCTTTCATGCCAAAATGTAATACGTAAAACTTGTCTATGGACTCCTTTTGGATACATATCAATTCCCTGCACTTGGACTCCCTAGAGATCTCCACCACCAACACACACCATATATATATGCCAATGTATAATCGTCCATTGTTTGGTTTTGGAACATTCTGATAAGTATTTTTGTTGCATTTTTTTCTCCTCACAGTTGAAACGTAAATCAATTAAAACTCTTGCAGGTCATATTGGATTACCCGAGTGAGTTTTCTTCTGAATTTCAGTCTCAGGAACATATGGCCGAAGAGCAACAATTACAATGGTTCAGTCAATTACATTCCAAGGCAATAAAAGTCTTATGGACCTTTGGTTTAAACAAGGAAATCATTTTTCACGGCATCAGCTGGTGACCAAAAATTGGTTTCAGGAACGGAGTGGTTACTGGCCTTAAGTGCCAATTGGAGCATATATAAACCAATGTCCCTATTTATAGTTGTTTGCCTTAGGTCATTCAAACTATCTATATACTGAATGGCAATGACGACTATGTGCATTCCTTTTTCCTTTTTTCTTTTTTTCTTTGTTTTTTTTTTTTTTTTTTTTTCGCTAAGGCATATATACACTTACGTAACACCCATATTCTAAATTCTTAAAATAGTGTACTGCAAATTGATTAAGCATTTCATTAAGTTTTAAAATTAGGTGAATAAAAAGAAAAAATGATAAATTTTAAACTAATTGAAGTAATATTCCTATTTTCAAATAATTCTCACATTTGAGAAAATACCATATTTCTAAATACTTGTTATATATAGTAAATTATTTTTTTGTTATAAAATAATAGAAAAATGGGGAGAATAAAGGTAAGGAATAGAGATAGAAGTCATTCTTATTGATGAGAAGCTATGAATATATTCTCACACGAGTGATACCCTAATTAAGAAAATAAGGTTGTACACTAAATAAGAATATAGACTTTTAGCCTATTAGAGATATCCACTAATTTTATAATGTTTTTATGTTTTTTCATTTTTAGCCTTTATATATGACCAACAGTGATTGAATGATTTTATTGAAATAATAAATTAAGGATCGAATAGTAAATTCATTTAATAATTTATTATAATTCATTGTAATTTAGGCAAATTAAACGGTTTTCTTAAGAGACATGAAATATCCATATGTTATAAGTATTTAGAACGGAATAAAAATCAATTTGGTCCTTGAACTTATTTAGCAGGATAAAAAAGGTCATAGTTGACCTTTTGGGCTAATTTAGCCCTTGAACATGTATAAAATAATTAAAAAGATCTGATTTCACTTTTTAGGCTAATTTAACCCTTTAACTTGTTTTGATTTTTATAAATTCATAATTAATTTAATTTAACAAGTAATTAATTTAATTTAACAAGATTGACTTTATATCCTTTTTGGTCCTACACTAAGAACACTTAGATCAGACTTTTCAAAACTTATGAATATAAATTTAAAATTCATAAAAATATTATTTCTTATAATATAATAAATTTATAGACATGCATTATAATTTTAATTTATTAAACATTGAAAATGCATAGATTTCATAAGTAATAACCTAGTAATAGAGGTTAATTTTAAAATGTTTAAATTAATACATAATTATAAACTCAAAATCATCAATCAAGGGAATAAGAGATACAATATATTTCATATATCATTTTCTTGTATCTTATAATTAATTAATTTTTCAACAAATTAGTCAATTCGATTCCTAATACAGTTTTAATAAATGTTTATGTAATGATTTTCATATTGTAAGTATAATGAAAAATTAGAGGTTATAGAGGTTAAATTGACTCAAAATTTCAAATGTAATTTTTTTTAATCATTTTAAATAAGTTCAGGTGTTAAATTGATTTTAAAAGTGAAATAAGATCTTTTTAATCATTTTATACAAGTTCAGGAACTAAATTAGCTTAAAATGTCAAATCTGACTTTTTTTTATCATGCTAAACAAGTTAAGCGACTAAATTGGCATTTATTCCATTCAAAAACAAAGGAGTACTAAATTTTCTAGAACGAATAAATAATTAATTATTAAAAAATTAAAACTATTTATATGTTTTTTAGGGAAGTGCATTTAACTTTTATGTTCTGTTATCCAAAAGAGAGTGATTCTACCCAAAAAACATTGTTGCAGAGTTTCAGAGTTTCTTTCTTTTTTCTTTTTTTTTTTTTTTTTTAGATCATCATAAGACTAAAAAACAATAATTTACTTGGATTTTTCTCCTAAATTAATTCTTAACTAAATTTAATTCAATGTGGACTCACCTATTTATATCGTACACATAATTACTTTCTCCATTTAATGTAGCCTTCGACGCCTGTCATTACTTTCTCCATTTAATTGTGCCTCGACGCCTGTCTTGCAGTAGATCCTTCACTACCTCCCATTATAAGTAACATTAAATGACATATTTTATTTTATTTTGAAACCTAAAAACGGTGGCCATATTACGATTTTTGTAACCAGAGCCGTCGGTTTGGAACTAATGAGAACCGAAATCGGAATCAATGGGAATCAGAATCGTTCTGAGCCAGAACTAGAACCGATAGCCTATGGTCCAGTTCTGGTTCCATCATTTTTGGAACCGTGAATTGGCAGTTCCAAAAACCATCCGAAACCGACGGTTTTTCCAGCCGGTTAGAAACGACGATTGGGACCGAGGGTTCGAACCGGTGGTTCCATGCAGATTTTAAATTTTATGTCAAATGGCTAGAACCGGCAGTTCCAACCAATTCCAGCAACATCTTTTTTTTTTTTTTCCAAATAGTTTTACGGAATCCCCAAATTACCCCCTAATAACTATAAACGGCTAGTCTTAAGGATATTTGCAGAAAAATTATTTTTTGGATTTATTATATATCCCTTTCTATTTACAATCCCCTCAAACAAAATTATCTCTACTCTCCCTACTCTATATTATTTTCTACTCTTCAATCTCTCCAATTTTCATTTATAAATCATTGTCAAAAATATTTGCAAAATAATTTTTTCAAAGTGTAATCTCCAATTATTTGTCAAAATTATTGTCAATTAATTTCTTCAAATTCCAATTCTAAATTGGTGGAGTCGTCATACAAATACATTTTCAACCCTTTCACTAATTGCAAAACAAATTTTAGCAGCTCTAATCTCCACCGTTGCGATTGAAAAATTTTTAGTCAATGAGGAAATATACTTGATGAAACACGATCTAGTATGATACTCGATTCATTAGAAGCACAATCATGCACAGATGATGAAATTGGAGCAGGTTAACTAAGAGTACAGAGAATATCAAAGAAAATGAAGCATTTTATTTGAGAATATTAAAGAAGAAGTGTGAAGTTTAGTGAGATCTTTTACGAGGCGTCCTCAACAAGAAACATACCAACTGGTTGATCCAAAATAGACGACTTAAGTGTAAATGAGACGTTTGAAAATTGGTGGTATAGATAAGGTAGAAATACGTGGGGCTTTGATCCTCTAAATTCCAAAGAGGATACGTATACCCATGTGTCCAACTTTTTTAAACAAAAAAAAAATAAGTAGAAGAAGTTTTTTTTTTTTTTTTGGGAAAAATAAAAAAATTAAGTTCAAGCATTTTTTAATTTTTTTAAGGGTATTGTTTTTAGAATATTATTTCACCAAATTTTTTAAATTTTTAATGAAAGAAAAAAATGTTCTCTAAAAAATGTTCTCTAATTTTTTATTTTACAATTATGTGATTCGCCGAAAAATCGATCAAAGAACAGGCCGGAACCATCAGTGTTGAAACTGTTAAGAAACCGAAACCGGAATCGTTCGGTTCCAAACTGTAACCGGAACTATAAATTTCGGTTCTGTTCGGTTCTAAATTGTAATCGGAATTGTCAATTTCGGTTCTGTTTTGAAATCGGTGATTCCAGAACCTTAACCACCCCTACTTAAGTAGGAGCCATTAATTAAATATATATGAATATAATAAAACCTTTCCAATTTTTTTTTTTTTTTTTTTTTTTGTCAGAAGATGCATTGGTATCCAGGGTTCATGCTTGCAGTAAGGTAAAAAAAAAAAAATTTTAAATCTATATGGTGTGACAGATCAAATATCAGTATTAATGATGATACATTCATCCATATGATTATTATTATTATTTAAAAATGGAGTCTTGAGAGAAATAAATTTGAAGACAATATCTTTATTGTGACAAATAAAATAATAACGAAAAATTATTATTATTATTATTATTATTATTGTATTTTATTATATTTTAACAATCAAAGAAGAATGAGCAACCATCATTGTTGATGGAGCATTTTTATTGTATTTTATTATATTTTAACAATCAAAGAAGAATGAGCAACCATCATTGTTGATGGAGCATTTTTACTGCCGGGATATATGGTCAAGCATCTTTAGATGTGAATATAGTGACGACGAGGGGGACCGCCGAAAGGCACCAAGAAAAAAAGTTAGGAAAAATAATTATTTAGTCTCTAAAATTTACTATAGTTACCAAAATTATTTAAATAGTCTCTTACATTTAATATAATATTTAATTCATTCAGACGTTTGCCTCCCCACCTCCTTTAAAATTCAAGGGTTTTTGCCGTTAAAATCAAATAAAACTCTAGAGAGAGTTTTTTCGGAATGACAAAATACACCCTTATTGAACTGTGCACAAAAGTACTGGTTTTTGAGATAAAATTGATAGAAAAGAAAGAAAGGTAACGCATGATGCAAAATAAGCTACAGGAACTGTTTATTAATTGCAGGAATAAAACAATTATGATGCTGCACTTGAATTTGATCAACAGGTAAGCACAGTGTGATTCTGTAACATATATAATGCATCTTATAGCAATTTTATTTCTACATAAAAACATCAAATTCAAATAATTAAAAAGAATCGATTAAATCCAGCTACAGGAACTGTTTATTAATTGCAGGAATAAAACAATTATGATGCTGCACTTGAATTTGATCAACAGGTAAGCACAGTGTGATTCTGTAACATATATAATGCATCTTATAGCAATTTTATTTCTACATAAAAACATCAAATTCAAATAATTAAAAAGAATCGATTAAATCCATGTTGGAAACAGGTAACAAAATAAATAAATGAGATTTACCAAAAATCGTAGGCCGTGATGGATTGAACCAACCAAGAGCGATAAAGTCCCACATCAAAAATGGGATTTGGACACTCACTTGCAAGATTTGGACATGCCCATCAGCTTTCTCGTAAATTTGGCAAGAGTTGTGCATTGAACCAAGAACCCTATAGAACTGGGCCAGTGATAAGCATGTAAATATAAAGAATTAAATATATATCTGCAGAAATAAAAAAAGAACCCCAAGAACAAAAAAACAGCACCCAACGCAATTGCAAACCGAATCAATAAATTGAAACTGAAAGTGCAGCCTTCACAGATGGTTGTCGGCGTGCAGTGTCATCGGACCTATATAGTATCGAATCTCCAGTTGAACCAGTTGAACCAGAAGGTTTTGTGGAAAGCTTCATATTCTCAAGATTTCACCCAATCTGCCGCATAACAGGAACAAGAATCCGGGGGGAAAGGGTATTTAACCGCAATGGTACTGTAATGGATGGTCAACGCCGGTGAATTCGATGTTGCCGGTGTGTAGCCCAAGGAGCAACGGCGACTTTGTGCATGTATAGAAGGTGCGGAGGAGGAGGTGGGGGTGGGGGTGGAGATGGAGGCAGAGGCGGTGGAGTTGGAGATGGAGGCAGAGGCGGTGGAGGTGATGATGGAGTTGCAGTGCTTCATCTATTATCAAACTAATTTATGGGTTTTCATTCCAACCCATTTATCTCAAATTTATGGGTTTTCATTTCCAAAAACCCTTTATCTCAAAACACGAAGGTTTCGCACGAAGGTTCGCATCGTTGATTCCAACCCAACTAAGCAACGCTTTCCACACTAACCATCAAAAACATAGAATTTCCTGTTAAACTTCAGTAGATCTGTAGATGTACCATTGATTGAGAGGATTTTGAGTGAGAAGTTTACGTTTGGGAGAACAAAGCGGAGAAGTTTACGTTTGGGAGAACAAAGCGACTTTTCCTTTTCTCGGTTGCAACGTCACAGTGGTCCACGTCAGCTAGAAGGATGTTTTAGTATTTTCTCCTGTTCTCAGCGGCAAAAACCCTTAAACTCAGACGGAGCGACCTTCTACAAGGCGGAGGGAAATGTTAAGGATGAGTTAAATTTTATATTAAACTAGTAATACATCCGTATTATACAGGGTTAAAAAGAATAAAGTAAAAAATTGAAAGAATATATATATAGATATATAGTTTATAGATTTTTGAATGGAATTTTTTTTATTATACTGTTAAAAAACATTATTAAGATATATCAATCGTAAATAAAAATATGGTCATGATTTTTAATTACTAAAGTAAAAATTAGTAGATAAACATATGTTCAATATTATGGATTAAAAATGTTGAAATTTATAAAATGTATAAAAATTAAATATAAAAAAAAGGTAAATGAAAAGGTCAATATTCATTTAAGATTTTAATATTTAGAATTAATGTAAAAAAAATAATTTAACTCGCTTATAAAATCCATGGATAAAATTATTTATTTTATACTAAAAGTTTGTATAAATCATCAATTCATTCAAGTTATTAATTCTCTAAATACTACTCATGTAACGCAAAATTATATTTAAACATAATTTAATTGAATAAAAAATAATTTTTAAACTTAATGTAAAATATAGTAGACTGTCATTATAATTAAATTTTATACATTATGTTTGTCATTACTTTTATATCGTTATTGAATTTTCTAACATTATATTTAATCAATTATATTTAAGACGGTTTAATTCAATTAATAAATAATTATAAATTAATTTATTTTTAAATAAATATAAAAATAAACAATTAAGGCATTAAACAAGTCATTAAATTGAAATCCTACGTGGTAACACCAGGAAAAAATCTACCCACTTTATTTCAACCAAACACTATGACAAACTTAACATAGCTTTGTTAAACTTAACACAGGATATTGTCACATCTATCCTTGGTTTAATATGGATAGCATCTATCCTTGGTTTAATATGGATAGGTAGGAAACAATTAAACCATCAAAGTTGATTCTGAAAAATTACCTTATTGCAAATTGAACATGGTATAAAGTAACATAAATGCTCATTGTTCTTCTAAAATCTATTTCAATTTACTGACTTGCTAGCTATTTCAATACAATTATCAATTTCTTATGTATGCACACTAACTCTCGAAACTGGTAAAGTCTAATAAAACCATCTCATTATAATCTTTTAATCTCTTTGCAGACTATAATACACTTGGTTAGCAATTTTGAACTCTTGTTCGTATGTGAAAAGTTATTGTTCTCTTATTTATTTTGACAAGTTTCCTAGGGTTTTTTCTTTTGCTGGACTAATGGTGAATACAGTGAGGCTACAAGACTGGTGGAGGAGATGTATGTTAGGCTTTCCATGGAGGAGAGCGTAGGACGTGTGGAAGTTGCAAAAGAAGGGAAGAAGGGGAGTGAGGATGTGATCGATTCACCGTTTAGCTTGGAGGGTCAACTGCTATTTGAAAAGCCAATGAATTTCATAGCTTTTAAGAATACAATGGCATTGGTTTGGAGGCCTGTGAAGGGGATGTTGGTGAAAGACTTGAGGAATAATGCTTTTGTTTTTCAGTTTATGCACCCGATGGATTTGGAACATGTCATGCAGGGAGGTCCATGGAAATTTGCTCAAAACTTAGTGATTCGTAAACATGTTTCTGTAGGTGTTGATCCTAAACAAGTAGAACTCACTCAAGTTGAGTTTTGGGTCCAAATACACAATCTCCCTATTGGTTTTATGTCATAAAGGATTGGGAAGGAGTTTGGAAATTTCATTGGATCTTTCTTACAAGTATATGGAGAGAGTATATGCATATTCGAGTTGCACTGGATACTCATAAGCCTCTAAAAGGAAGAATGCAAATAAAGAAGACGGGGAGGGACTGGATTTGGATAACTTTTAAGTATTAAAGGTTATCAACTTTCTGCTTCTTTTGTGGTATGCTAGGCCACTCTGATCATTATTGTAAACCTTTATTTGATAACTCAGGCTTCCCTCGTGATCAGTTCGCCTATAGTGCATGGATGCGAGCTAATAGCAAAAAGGTATCGAACATTGGTGAGAAGTGGTTGTTGTCGGAAGCTGAACTTCTAAGTGGTCAGCAGAAAGGAGAGGAGGGTACACCATGGAGTCCGATCAGCCAGGGGGTATGGAGGCAAGCTCTCCCTAACAGTTTGAGAATCCCATGATTCAAGCAGATATCCTGCTGGAGTCAAAATCTAAAGATTTCGTGCAGGCTAAGAAAATTATTGTGCCTATTGCCAATATTGGTTTCAATATGGACTCTTTAACTGCGGCTGTCCAGAAGTGGCGTTGTGTGGAGTCTAATAATGTCGAACCATTAGGTTAAATTATGGAAGCTATTGATGGGTCAAAAAACTTACTAGAGACGGGTCTTGGGGTCCAAGCCTGCCACTATATCTTGAAAGTGTCGTGGGCTTGGGAACCCATGTACAGTTAATGAGTTAAAGGACTTAGAGTCCTTGAAGTGGCCCAGTGTTATTTTTCTAATGGAAGTCTTGGTGGGTTGGTCTAAGGTGGATCAGGTTCGTCAGGCTCTTGGGTATGATGGCCTTTTTATGGTAAGTCTAGTGGGTCACAGTGGCGCGTTAGCTTTAATTTGGATGGAGAAACCTAGGTGCTCTCTTATAAGCTATAGTCAGAACCATATCGATGTTTGGGTGGCTGTTGAAGGTTTGGAGCCTTTTCGTTTCACAGGCTTCTTTAATTTGGATGGAGAAACCTAGGTGCTCTCTTATAAGCTATAGTCAGAACCATATCGATGTTTGGGTGGCTGTTGAAGGTTTGGAGCCTTTTCGTTTCACAGGCTTCTACGATTTTCTAAATTGCAATCATAGGAGACAATCATGGAATCTTCTTAAATCTTTGAAGCCAAAGTTATCCTTACCATAGGTTGTGGTAGGGGATTTCAATGATCTTCTCTATCATTCCGAGAAGATGGAAAGGGTTAACCATTCCTCTTGGTTAATTCATGGATTTAGGGAGGCAGTCAATAACTGTGAACTGTTGGATTTGGGTTTTGTGGGTAATCAGTTTATATGGGAAAGGGGAAAAGCGGGTAGAGGCATAGAGGAAATTGGGTTGTCAAAGTAGAGGCATAGAGGATTGGGTTTGTCAAAGGCTTGATAGAGCTCTGGTTTCGTGTTCTTGTAATAACCTCTTCCTGGATGCTCGTCTTTTTCACATGCAAGTTGTTTCAAGTGATCATTGTGCCATTTACTTGAATTTAGGGGTGTCTTTCATTCGTCATGTTAAAAGAGGTACGAAAATGCTGCAGGAACCAAACTTTCAGGAGGTTGTTAGAGAGGCTTGGGAGGTGGGTTCTGAGTTGGATATTAAGGACCGGATATATCGTTGTGGTTCTTACCTTGCTTAGTGGGGAGAAAAGCGAAAATTGTTGTTTAAACAAAAGTTGCGGGAAAGCAAAATACATATGGCTCGGTATAAGTTTAAGAATGATGCTGTTTCTATTAGTTATACAGGGTGGCAAAAGATGCATATTCGGAGGTGTTAAGGCAACAACATGCATATTGGCAACAAAGAGCGAAGTAGTATCGGTTACAAGATGACTCGTCATTCTCGGTTACAAGATGCACGATGAAATACATGCTATTTTCACACTATCAGCCTCCTGCTTCATCGGAGAAAAAAACACGTTTGTTTGCAGTTTAAAGATTTTGTGCAGTTAAAAGATGAAACTAGTTAGTGAAAAACTTGGAATGATGGGCTTAAGGACTATATTGTGCATTATTACACTTATTTGTTTTCTTCAAATCAAGGGGATGATGAGACAGTTTTGGAGTGCATTAAGCAAAAGGTACAAGCCTCTCACAATGATATTCTTTCGTGCTCATTCACCATTGAGGATATCAGGCAAGCCATTAAAGGCATGCATTTGGACAAAGCACCAGGCCCAAATGGACTATCTCCTGGCTTCTATCAACAGTTCTGGTCAATGGTTGGTAATGAGGTGAGTGCAGCTTGTCTTAATTTTCTTAATAATAATGGTACTCCGCTAGGAAGGAATAAAACAAATATCAATTTAATTCCTAACAAAGGTAGTTCGGAGTTTGTTTTTGATTTAAGACCCATCTAACTGTGTAACGTAATAAATAAAATTATGAGCAAAGCTATAACTAACATAATGAAATTTTGTCTATCTGATGTTATCTCTAAGTGTCAAAGTGCTTTTCTCCCAGGTAGAGCTATTACGAACAATATTATATCGCTCACGAAATTATGCACTTTCTTAAGCGTAAGACTCAGGGTAAAGTTAGGGTGGTGGTGCTGAAAACAGATATGAGCAAGGCATATGACCGGGTGGAGTGGTGATTCTTATAATGGCTTATGCTTAAACTGGGTTTTTGCAGTGAGTGGGTTGATAAAGTAATGGGTTTGGTTACAACTGTCAGTTATGATATTTGGCATCATGGAAACAGATTTGGCCCTATTATTCCAAGCAGGGGATTGTGGCAAAGTGATCCTATCTCACCATATTAATTTATTATTTGTGCGGAGGCCCAATCAGCACTGTTGGAAAAATTTCTAGCAGCTGGTCAACTTCATGGATGTCAAGTGGTAAGATCTACTATTGTGATTTCTCATTTATTTTTTGCTGATGACGCCTTTTATTTCTTTAGGGCTCTTCTTCCAGAGGCATTTATCATAAAAAAT